GCCTTCAGTCTACATTCCAGATCTCAGCCCTTAAGCGGAGCTGTCCTGTTGCTACCACCCAATCCCACGTCTCTGTGGCCAGGACTACCAACATGTCCCTGCCCCTGAGGCTGGCATCAGCACCAATTCTCCCAGCTATGTGTGCTTGACAGCTCGGCCCAGCACAGAGCCAAGGAAGGAGCAAATTCCTCAATCTGAGGGTCTGACCTTAACATTTCAAAGGCATAGTTATCTCGACCCTGGAATGAGGAGCCTGAGCAGTGGGAATGCTGATAACCGCACTACTTCAAAGTAATTAGATTAAAAATACTTATGTAAGCTTGTAAAGATTTGGAAAAATCAGACCAAGTGATTGGTGATTTATGTAAATATAAGAATTCATGAATTCCATTCCAAACAAATCCTTTCCAAGCAAAATGCAGAGCTGCAGAATCACCCATATGTCTGGCCCTTTTATTTATATATATATACCCATATAAATGCATTTTGCTTGGAAAGGATTTGTTTGGACTAGAATATATATTATATATTAATTTTTATATTTACTTATGAATATATATTTGATATAATATATTGTAATATAATAATATATATTACATATATTAATGTGTTTTGTTTGGAAAGGATTTATTTGGAATGGAATTCATGAATTCTAATATTTACATAAATCACCAGTCACTTGGTCTGATTTTTTTCTAAACCTTTTTATATATGTGTGTGTGTACATATATATATACATATATATGTATATGTTTGTGTGTATATATATGTCTATATGTATATGTATGTGTGTGTATTTGTGTGTGTTTGTGTGTGTGCATGTGTATAGAGAGAAAGAGAGAGAAATTAAATTGAGTCCTTTATGCCAAGGCTCAGGTATAAATTGACCACAATTAATTAAAGTTTATAAAAGAGAAGCAATGGCTCCTGGGATATCTTAAGCACACAAACTAGCTCCCAGGACCTGCAAACTCATACAGCTGCACCTCATACTCAGCCACAGAAAGAACAAAGAGGACTATGGCCCAGCCACAGTAGGCAGAAAAGCAAGTGTCCTTCATGAGAAATAACCCCATCTCTTAGAGTTTTAAGCAATGTCATAAGAATCACTGTCCAGTTCTGTGGATCAAAACACCACAGTGAACAGAGGTGAGGTCCCAAACCACTGAGGACCAGGCAAACCATTTCAGATTGCTATGGACTGAATGTTTGTGTCCCCCCCAAATTAATATATGTTTAAGTCTTACTGCCCAATGTGATGGTATCTGGAGGCAGGGCTCTTTGGGAGGTGATTAGGTCATGAGAGTGGAGCCCTCATAAATGGAGTTAGTGCCCCTATAAAAGAAACCCTCAGAGCTCCCTCACCCTTTCTGCCCCATTGCAGGATACAACAAAGTCTGTGACCTGGACAGGTCTCACCTGACTGCTGGCACACCAAGATCAGACTTCCAGCCTCCAGAATTGTGAGAAATCAGTTTTGTTGTTTATAAAACACTCAGTCTATGGTAATTTGTTACAACAGCGCTAACTGACTAAGACACGCATAAAGGGCCCTAGCCAGGGACCTTCTCATGAAATATTTAACAAGCACAAAAATTTTGCCTAATGTAGCTTCTGTCTGGCTTTTCTCTCTCTCCTCTTGGAAAAACTGTTCCTGCCCCACCCCCACCTGCCACCCCAGCGGTCCAATTTCACCACCAGGTAAGAGAGACCACGTGCCTATCACCTTGAGCTCACCTTCTCATCTCAGGATCAGAGGAAGCCCCTCTTCCAGCCAGGCCCTGGGGCAACCCCTTTTCCAAGGAGCCCACCTGCATCAAGCTCTGTCCTAGGGTCCAGCCCTTCCTGCAAGTGTTCCTTCTGGGTCCCCAGACCTGTGCTCAGTGCTTACTTCTGCCAGCTTCTGTTGCTTGGGGACACAAGGCTGCCTGAGCTGTGTTAGCAACTCACCTTGCTTTGTGCTCTCTCCCCTGGCCCAGTTTTGCTCCAATTGCTTCTGTCTCCATCATTGCTCTTAACAATTTCCCTGGAGTGTCATTTCACTCAGCCTCCTAAACTCCACTTCAATGCCTCCTTTCTCTCCCCTCTTTCTAACCCACCATTCCACTTGGGAGAAAATAACTGAGCTCCTTAAGATGCTGCCCTCCATGCTATTCAACTTCCCTCCATCATCAATGGCCTCTTGATTATAAGAATCACCAATTACTCTACTTAAGGAGCACTACATTTATACAATAGGTACATATCCATGTTAGGACAGCCATTATCTCATTAAGGGAGGACCCTTCAAATATTTAATGCTTGGAGTCATACTTTATACCATTTCACACCTCCCTTTTGTCCCACTTGGCATCACCCCTCAATCTGCAGTCACTGGGAAAGAGTATGTTTAAGCATAGTTTTAGTGATTAACTATGCACTTATTCAAAATATGATTCTGCATCTAGGGGTGCCTGGGTGGCTCAATCGGCTAAGCGTCTGCCTTCAGCTCAGGGTCCTGAGATAGAGCCCTGGGTCAGGATCCCTGTTTGGCAGGGGAGTAAGCTTCTCCCTCTCCCTACGCTCTTGTGCTCTCTCTCACTCACTCTCTCTCTCAAATAAATAAAATCGTTTTTAAAAATTTGATTCTGCGTCTCTACTAAGAATTGCTGGGCAATTCTAAATTCAAAACCTCTGTTTACCTGGAAAAGCATTGAATATGACCAAGTGTTGAATATGCTCAAGAAATATTTGTTCAAAGGATAAATGGATGGATAGATGGATGGGTGGGATGAATGGATGGATGCGTGGGTAGATCCAACACTAAACATTTCTGGAGATGTCAAGATCTCTTCACTTTGCGTCACAGTTCCAAGGAGGGAAGTAAGAAATGAGGGGCATAGGGCTGCTCCAGATCCAGCAGGAGCTGCTCCCTCCCCATGAGGTCATTGGTCATTTCCAGGGGATTTGTCCTATAGAGCTTTGCACAACACAATTAAAGTAATCATCATAATAAAATAATAATATTGCAGTACACTAGCCACATGTCAAGTGCTCAATAGCCACATGTGGTTAGTGGCCACCACACTGGAGCATTTCATCACCACAGAAATTTTATTAGTCAATACTGTGAGACGAGAAAACATGAGGAAGCCATTTAAGATGCCCTAGAACTCCTTCCATGTGAGTAACATGCTCACATTAGTACTGGTCTCACTCCAGTGTGACCAGTACTGTCAATTGAAATACCATGTCATTTGTACAGTCTAATAGGAAATATATATTTGGTCTTTGTCCCTGGTTCCTGGCATCAATCTCCTAAAACCTTACCCTTGGAATTCCCTGAAAGATAGGACTGTCTTTTGTTATTCATAACAAGCCCCTTTAGACGACACCTGAGTTTATGCTAATGAGGAGATTCTTATGAGTCCCTAGATAGTTTCAGGAAGGGGTTGGTCCAAGGCTCAATTAGAGGGTTGGAATTTTCAGTCCCATCCTCCCTTAACTTCTGGGGAGGGGAGAAGGGCTGTCAATTGAGTCTAATCACCAATGGCCAATGATTTAATCAATCATGCCTCTGTAATGAAACCATAAAAATCCCTAATGGACAAGTTTCAGACCCGCCAGGTTGGTGAACACATAGAGCTGCTGGGACAGTGCACCGCAGGAGAGCATGGAAGTTCCATTGGCACCCTCCACCCCCAATACAATGCCCCATGCATCTCTTCCATTTGGCTGTTCCGAAGTTGTATCCTTTATAATAAACTGGTAATAGTAAGTAAAGTGCTTTCCCGAGTGCTGCAATTTGTTCCAGTGAATTATTGAACCTGAGAGGGGGCTGTGGGTACTCCCAAATTTGTACTCAGCCAGGCAGAAATATGGGTAGCTTGGGCACCACATTTGAAACTGGTGTCTAATGTGGGGACAGTGTCATCAACTGAGCCCTTACACTGTAGAGTACATGCTAACTCTAGGAATTAGTGTCAGAATTGAATTGTTAGATACCCTGTTGGTCAGTTGAACACCCACTTGGTCAGAGAATCCGAGAACTGATTGGCATAAAGGAAAAACTCTCTCAGTTTCACTTTTCTCTTTCAATAAAAAGACTGTGGGGGTGTGTTTTGGTGGCATTGTGCCTATAAGGAGGCTGCCTCTGGTCAGGGGGAGGGTTTCTATTTATACACTGTCTGCAGAGCACTTTGCAATCCTTCAGCATGAAGGGTTCCATATGAGTGCAAGGTGTTATTGCAAGGTGTTAACAGTTCCAAATGAACCTTTTCATTTAACTGTGTCAACCTCTGGATTAGCCAGTCTTAACTCAATAGATGGTGGAGTGGGCAGAACTAATGAGTTTTTGTTTAGAATATTTATATGTCTGACCTGAAAATTATGAGAGTTTTTTTCAATTTGAACCAGCGGGAAATTTTAACCTTTTTGCCAAAATACATAGATCATTGAAACCTATTCCTCATTTTCTTTAAACATAGGTAGAATGAAACCCAGAAATAATAATGGCAATGATACTAAATATTCCCCCAGCATTTTTCTTTCAAAAACCTTGTGAATGTATACATAGATTAGTTTGCTCATCCTCCAACATCCCTAGACTTGTTTATTTGAAATGTTAGTGTGGACAATGGGAAAGAAGTGTGAGGTATTTACCTTGTGTTTACTCTCCCCTAATCTCTCTGGAGGAGGGAGGACTTTGCATCTATGCAGCATCCCAGCAGCATCCAGCAGCATTTCCACCGTGTAGTTCCAACTCTTGGGCTCAACTAATGCACTTATTTCTCCATGGGAGCCTGCAAACACATCCTGAGTCTTCTGAACACACTGCTTCATGGACACAACCAATCTGCTTTCCCTCCTCCAGCATGTGAGATAATCAAATATGTGTATTAATTAGAGTACTCCAGAGAAATAGAACCAATGGAATATATCCTTATATCTATATATCTATATCTATCAATGTCAACATAAACATATATCAATAGAGAGAGATTTATTATAGGGAACTGGCTCATGTTGTAGAAACTGGCAAGTCCAAAATCTGCAGAGCTGATAGCTGATGTCCCAGTTCAAATCCAAAGCCCAGAAACTGATGTGGAAGCAGGAAGAGGTGATATCCTAGTTCAAAGGCCACAAGGCAGGAGAATTATCTCTTACTCTATGAACAACAGCCTTTTGTTTTATTCAGGCCTTCTACTGATTGGATGAGGCCCACCCTAATGACTGATTGGAGGGCAGTCTGCTTTACTCAAAGGATTCAAATGTTTATCTCACCCCAAAACACAGAAATACACACAATAATATTTGACCAACTATTTGGGCGCCGTGGTCTAGTCACACCAATACATAAAATTAACCATCACACTATGTGTGTACATAAAGCAAAGCACAGTTCATGAGCATCTATCTCTCCTTTGGTGGGATCCAGTTTTCTCAGCCCTTCCACAAACCATCAGAGGAATCAACAGCAGAGCTCAGGCCAGTGACACCCACCAGTAGATTTCCTTATAGGGCCCCTATCTCCGTTCACACAAGCTGGGAATCACTGCATGCAAATGGTGGGCTGCTGTCAACACCTTCTGAGGTCCAGTCCTCCGCTGACCACAGGGCACAGCCATCACCATTCTCATGGCCCATCCCTGCCTGGAATGTGCTGTCCCCTAGAGACTCACTCAGAGTCAGCTCCTCAGGAAACCACACCTGCCCACCTGTCCCACTAAGAGGAACTCTGGACACTCTGTTGGTCTCCATTTAGAGATTACAAAGGGTAGGGTTTCAGGAGCATCTGGGCCAGCCCTCTGGCTTTACAGAAGTCATTGAGACCCAGAGAGGTAAGCACCTTGACCAAGATGCTCAGAGAGCTAATGAGCCCTGACTGGAATATAGTCCCTCACGCCCACTCCAAGGCTCTGTCCACAGCAGCATCTCTGCAGACACTGTGTGAGGCTTCCAAGCACTCTTCAGCCATCATTCCTCTGCATTAGGCTTATAGCCACATTCAGAGCACAAATCAGGGATTCTATCTCTTTTGTACCCTCCTGCTGTAGCCTTGACTCCCGCTGAATGCAGTAGCAGGCACTATCTGGCCTCTCCCCATGGGACATATTGGCACTTTCAGCAGGGCAAGCACTCCCCAGACTTTAGGAAAATCAAGAACACTCCCCACACATTCCCAAACACTCCTCCTGGGAGGAGGATGAGCAGCCATGGCTCCCTGCAAAGGCAGTGTACAGGTCCTCAGGAGCTGACCCCAACAAAATCCTCAGAGACGCAGTCCACCGTAGCTTTTCCTGTCCAGAAGAGTGAGTCAATGCCAAATGGGGACAGTGCCTGGACTTCATGGCTCCAGGGCCCGGACGCCTGGCCCGCCTCATCCCTCGCTGACGATTGGCACCTCTGAGCTCCCTGCTCCCAGCTGGAACGGGCCATACTGATGGATGTGGGTTGTCGGTCCCAGACCACGTAGTAGGTGAAAGTTCTGGAAACTTCACAGAAAAGTCAGTTCTTGTAAAATTTCCAGTGTGTTTTTGTTAGCCCCAAAAGAGAGATCTGTGCGCTCTGGATTGCTCTGGTTCTGCCCATTCTAAAGGGCAGCAGCACTCTTCCTGGTTACTAAAGAGTGCCCCCCATATATAACCATATAACCTGGGTCAGGGCTAAATTGTCCCTAAAATTTAACCTTGGGTGTTTTCGATAACAAGGAGGGTAAATTGATAAAACCAAATGTATCAAAGTCAAAATCATAGATAATGCCAAAATAATTCCTATTGAAGTTTGAGGTATACCATATATTTCTCAAAATGTCGTGGAGCACAGTGTTTAATTCATTGGCGTCTTCAGGAGGTGTGGATTAGGACGGAGGGAGAGGCAGCCTAAGAACATGCGAAGGAAAGGCTCATAAGGACACGTTTTTATCCAAAACGGCTTATAGACATACCTCCACTCAGCAAAATGGACTTAGCCTCCTCTGGCCTGACTGTAAAGAATAATGTTCCATCGCTTCTCGGCCTTTTGGCTAAGATCAAGTGAAGAATAATGTTCCAGCTCTCACATCATTTCAAGAAGAAAGGATGGTCCTGAAATGTGTGATAACTGTTAACTCTAGGGTACTTTTCAGATCTACTTTCTTTTAAAGAGAGATCATCAACGTGAAGAGAAAGGTTTGACTATCCAGCAAAGCACTACCTACAAATATCCAAGCTGACATTGAACAGCAGCCCCCGAGCCTGTGAGCTCGCACAGCCTTATTCTTCCAGTAATTGCAGCCCTGTCCCAGAGTCAGTGACTGACCTGATCCTGGGCATCTCCTGCATCTCCTCTCCCCTCCCATGATATGCTGAGAAGCCAGGTGTCCAAATAAATGAGCCTTGGATTGTAGCATTTGCCAGTTTCCCTGGTGTAAATATTACCACCATATTCAATTCCAAAACCCCAATGGTTGAACCACTGGGTGGCAGAGTTCTTGAATATTTGCCATCCCCTGGCCTCTCTATGACTAACTGCCTCGCATCCCCTACACATTGGCTCAAATGTCACCTTCTCGGGGAGACCTTCCCCAACCATCTCACCCTATGTTCCCCATCCCCCTTCTCTGCTTTATCTTCTCCTTGGCATTTCTCAACATATTCACATACATAATTGATTTATTTCATGTATTTTGTCTCTTCCCCGCTAAGGACACACTCCAGAGAGGCATGTGTATTGTCTGTTGTTCACTGATGTGTCCCCAGCTAAAGCAGCATCTGACACATGGTCAGGGCTCCACATTTACTAATCAGTGAGCCCCAGCTTTGGTTTGAGTATCCGGTAAACAATGCTTTTGTCTCTCCTGCCTTTGCACTTCTGGGATCCTCACTTAGAACCAACTTAGCCACAGCCCAAACCCCAGCTAGCTGTAGATAAAACCTTTGAAGTCTGTCATCCAACTAACTCCTTCAAGTAGGAACAAATGGGATCTGTCCAAATGTGTCCATCAGAGATAGAATTCTCCTTAGCCCAGAGGCCTTCTATTTCTAGCTCGGCTGGCAGAAGAAAATGATCTCCTCCCTCCTTAGCAAAAAGGCTTATTTACAAGGGAAATAGCTCACTGTGCCCTGTACCATGCTCACAGGCTCTTCCTCACCATCCTGAGTTCAGAAACAGCAAATTGACACCTTAGCTCCCAAATACAGGGAGAGTCTCCGTTAGTAACAAGTGCTCCTGAATGTATCTGTGGGAACAAAAATGCAGAACCTGGTTTTTATTGTTATCCTCTTTCTTCTAGACATTCTAGAATGCTCTCAGCCTTCTAACTGTAGTTGGATTGTAATAGACGGACTAATTTGGGTTGTTGCCCCTTTGACACAAATTAGCTGCAGATGAGATGTTTATACACAATAGAAATGAATATTAAAACTGTGCAACACTGCCAATAGAAGATGAATAATTGAATCAAGAAATATAAAAACATTATCAGAAAAATAAATTCAAGCCTTGGCTGATGCCATGCCTCCAACAATACTCTTCCTTGGAGGTGACATCTTTGCCCCAAAGGGCATGTTTCCGAATATCCGGTCATTCTAGATGTTACCTCTAAGGCTTTCCCGGTAGGCCATGTGCCTCTATAGCTGTGTGACATTAGATTCCGTGGTTCCCCGGCTCCACTAGCATGCATCCCTGGGAACGAGCAAGAGCACCCCCGCGCCGGCCTGTGCAGGGCCTCAAGGCCGCACCTGCTCCTTGCACTCTGGCCCCGCAGTGTGACCGCCTTCCCCCCCCACACCCCCGCTCTCTTCACCTTCGTTTCAGCTTGGCAAAGGATCTCTGGAAGTGCGTCCAGCCCCAAGCACTCCCTCGCAGTCCTCCCTACGATCCTCGAGGTTAGGCCTCTTCTCATACTGTAATGCCTGGCTGGCTCCTAAGCGCCTTAGCTGCCTGGGCCGGAAGCGGAACAGATTGAAGGCAGCGACATCTAGTGGCTCTACGTGGTATCGAACTTAGTAGATGTATATATTAATGTACATAATAGGGAGCGGGAAAGAAACTTCGAAAGCACGTTACATGTAACCTCAGCAAACTGAGAGTATCAAGACAAAGGCACTGATAGGCCATAACTGTGCTTTGCTTTTGTCTTTCATGCTGAAGAACCTGGTTTGGTTTGGCATTTTCCTCCAACTCCTTGCTTGTTAAAATAATTCGCTGGAGGCAGCAAACCTTCCTTCCACTACAGCAGGTGGGTGTCAGCTCAGGAGCAGGTCCCAGGGGTGAGAGTCAGCGCACAGGAATGGGCATGTCAGAGACAACCACACAGGAAGGAATAAAGCACGGATAGGGGATGATTAGAGATCATGCATCAGGTTTGGGGGTGCTTCATTTTTCTCAGATGACAAGCACTGCATTTTGTAATTAAGGGGACTCTTCCCCTTACTGACCAACATTTCCAAGTGTAATTGCAATTGCTAGGAATCTGACAGAGATAAGGAGGGTGTACCTTCGGCCCAGGACAACGACACAATAATGAATAAAAATGCAGGAATAGAATTTGAACCTTAAGTACAAGCTTCGTGCAGTCTAAATTACCAAAGAGATTTATTACTTGGGTGTGCCAGAAAGTTTAGATACATATGCCCAGCTACCACAAAGAGAATTCTTGATATTTCTCCATATGGATAAGAATATTCATCACATAGTTTACAATTCAAACATACAAAAGTCAAGAAATGTAGAAAACTCATTTTTTACTACCAACTCACTAATGTGGGTTATGTATACTTGGCAATAAGAAGTAAAATCATGCAGTGGCCATAAAATTCTTATATCCATACATAGCTAAGTAATATCACAGGGAAAGCTTGCATCTATGAACTGATCTATTTATGCTGAAATATAAATGGTGCTCTTAAGCCTAGAGTTTTCTTGATCTTGGTTTTGAGGGCTGTTGATCTTAAGGAAAGAGAGAGTCATTGTGGAAAGCATGCCACATTTCCATATTTATCCCATGACCTGAAGCATCCTACATCCAGCTACCAAGAATTAATTTTAAAAGTATTCTAAAAAGTACTACTGGCCTCTGAGTCTTAGTTACAAGCCTACCAGTAATAAGCACATCAAACTATTTCATAATATTAAGAATACATCCTTATCTAAGGGGAAAAACAAAAAACAAAAATTACTCAGGAAGACATGACCAACTGAAGACAAGACCAATACAAAATTTTTTATTTAAATCCCTTCTCTGAGATTATCAGTGAGGAAAGAGAGCAAAGTCTACCCATTGCCTTCTTGACCAAATTTTTACAGCTCTCAGACCAGCTCTCCCCACTCCCGCACAATCACTTCAATGTTGAGAGTAAACTGGCAAGCAGTCTAATCCCTGAGTGGGCAGTGAGTGCCCATGCCCTGCCATAGAACAAGCAGACGAGATGTGCCATGCACACATACAAATTATCACATTCACCAAAGTAATTAAGAAATACCTTTATTTAAGAAGGGGGAGATGCTCCAACAGTGTGCTTTAGCTCAGATCTGGGGTTAACAGAAGCTGAACTAGTACAGGAGACAAAAGGATGCTTTAGGGTGGACAGTCACACCCTACACAGTGACTTTCATCAAGGCACTGCCCACTGTCTCTCATCCAGGTGACGTCTTCTTTCCTTCCTCCTTCCTCATCCAGGTGACTTCCTCTCGTGGTGAGCTCCGCCCAGATCCCTGGTCCATTACACCATCCCATGGACCGCTGGACACCCTCATTTTGTCCAGAAGAGTTTTATTTTGTAGAGGAGCATCCCACTGCACTTGACCTAGCCCTCTGAAAGGTATTCTAGGGCAGGGAAATATCTGAGTGTGTGTTTCCCCTTGATGTAAAATCAGCCAGAATCATCTCAGAACATAGGAGTCCAAGAGATCATTTCTAGGGAAACAGGCAACTGAAATAATCTGCCAGTGGGAGGGGATTAGCAGAAGGAAAGCCCCATAGCCCAGACATCAGGAGGGTATCAACCTCTTAGGGGATGTAAGGGATTCTCTACCTGTCTAAGAGTGAGCTATCCCACTGGGTATTTACCCCAAAGATACAAATGTAGTGATCCGAAGGGGCACATGCACTCCAATGTTTATAGAGGCAATGTCCACAATAGCCAAACTATGGAAAGAGCCTAGATGTCCGTCAACAGATGGATAAACAAGATGTGGTATATATATACAATGAAATATTATGCAGCCATCAAAAAATGAAATTTTGCCATTTGCAACGACGTGGATGGAACTAGAGGGCATTATGCTAAGTAAAATAAGTCAGTCAGAGAAAGAAAAGTATCATATGATCTCACTGATATGAGAAATTTGAGAAACAAGACAGAGGATCA